ATTCTTACTGCAGCTGTTGTTCCCTTCACTGGGTGTTTCGTCAATGCGTATCCTCTGTCCAATGAAAGCTTTAACAACCTCGCTGAAGACTCGCTACAGACTGAAGCCTCTCTGGTTTCGAAAAAGCACTTGCATGCCATACTACACTTGCAGGCCTTCCAAAAAAAATAAAGGGTTAGCGGGTTCACCCGCAATGATTAATGCGGACCTCTGTTATGCGCGATAGTGCAATCGTTCAGCTTTAAATTCCAAAACGCCAAACTTCGACACATAGACTTACAAGTGGAGTTCTATGACTGATTCTTGAAGAGAATGCAGCTGCAATCCAAAGTTTCAACGGGACATTAAGCGCGAAACATGACTTTAGTTTTCGAGTTTAGTTCGCAACAACGAGTCAAAGAAGAGTATCGACAGATGCCGACCGCTTAATTTTTGAGGTATTTGCTGGAGTTATCATAAAGTCCAGTTCACCAGTTTGGGAAGCGAGGAATATCTGAAATTTCACATAAACCCATGATTTCTCCGGCTATTGACAGGTTGCTGTTCTGTGGACACAATCGACGCGGAACCGAGAGAAGCAAGCTCAGGATATTTGAAATTGATTTATTAATTATATGATATCAAACTCCAGGTAAAAGCATTTATTCTTTTCATCCAAAATTTTTCTGCCCAAATATTACTTTGGGATACAAAACAAAACCATATGGCACAACGTACGGCACAAGCTATCAGCGGTCTTCTCTTTTGTGCGGACCTTTGTGAGAACAGTAAAACATCGAACTGGATCTAAATTTAAGCGATTATTTCTTCACTTCAGAAGCCTAAATCCTTCATTTCTCCCTCAGCTTCCAGACATGGAGAGTTTATATTCTGATTTTGGAAAAAATTCAGCTCTGCAGCGATGTTAAATGGGTGATTCACCGCGAAATGTGGCCAATTCCGGCATTTGTTTTGATACCACGAATCACGATGGATGCCGCCTACTTTTCGAAGGCAATACCTAGCTATTTGTTGAAGTTATCATGGATTTCACCAATTTGGTTATTAGAAAAATTCTGAAGTGAGCCATGAAGCCGGGCTGCAAAGCGGGTAAGCTGTATTTATGACGAAATCTGCTCCAGTGGTTCGATTTTGGTGTAGGCGAAAAAATCGCGAATGCTCGTACATGTGCTGATTCAAACGGTCATAACTTTTGAAAAATCGAAAACGTACAGGGGTTTTGCATATTTTTGCCTATAAAGGTCTAAACTTAACGGCTGTGTAGGATAGAATCGTCAACCAGGTCCCAAATCCCAAAACTTAGCGTCTAAATCAAGGTTTACGGCCATCGGCCGATGGCGATTTCTAGTGGTCAGAATATGCTAAAATTCGCCTTTTCAAATTTGTTGAGAGGGCAAATTCTAACTTTCTTGGCAAACTAGAAAGGTTTTTTAAGCAATCTGATATAAATTCTGTGGCTTAACTATGCGAATCAAATATTTTACAACGTTACAAAATATGCCTATTTTTCGATTTTAGAGACGTTGCGACGGTCCCTACGGACTGGGAACTAATTATGGCCCGTGATGCAGTCGGAAAATTATTTCGAATCAAACCAAATCTAATTTAGTTCTTTCCTAGGTAAAGTCTTTCTGTTAACAGAGTTTCAGGCAAAATTATTTTTGACGCAAAATTGACCGGGTGGAAATAAGAGAGACAGCCTCTTAATTAGCTTTAGTTCTTGTGCCGCATCCCTTCCCAGCAAGGGTCTCTCAAGATCTTTCACAACATAGATAAGCTCTCTAATAACTTTCTCATCCACACAGAGTTTGGCTGTGAAATTTCCCAAGCAACACAATTTATGTTTGCAGGGGCCCATCAGTGTCTTGGTGCATTTACTGAGTGAAGGCTTTGGTACTAGACTGTGGTATACACTTGGTGGTATTACTGTGACATCTGCACCAGTGTCCACTTTGAATTTTACTTCATGATCATTTAACTTAACCTCGGCCTTCCATGACTCCTTTGAGTTTCCTTCAACCATGTCTACTTTAGTGAGTTGACCAAGAAAGAATTCTCCTTCAAGCTCGACCTCTGGGCAGCTAACTTCTCCAACTTTCTTTTTCAACTGAGATTTGCATGCTTTTGCCCAGTGCCCCTTTTTGAAACATTTGTTACACTTAGAGTCCTTGGCGGGACATTCCTGTTTAGAATGGGGTGTGCCCAGACATCTGGTACATTTTGTTTCAGGTGTCTTGCCTGCTAAGCTAGAGTTTCTGGGTGGCTTATCCTTCTGATCCTTCCCTTTAACTCCTTTGCCCCTTTTCTTCGAAATCTGATCCACATTAGCTGAGGGAGGGTCTGGTTGGGTGCCCTGTAAAATGCCTTGCTGTTTCTTAACTGCCTCTGATTGCCTGGCTTGGGTTACTGCCTTCTCGAGGGTCAATTTAGAATCTAGCTGCAGTTTTTCAGACAGTTTCTTGTCTTTTAACCCCACAACTATTTTATCTCGGATAAGTTC